TCCTACTCGCACGACGTGTCTCTCACGGCCGACTCGCGCAAGAGCCACCTCCGCTTCTCGGCCCACAGCTGCTGCGACACCCTGCCGGCCCGGCCGCCGCCCGACGAGCCCGCGCCGCTGCTCGGAGACGAGGAACCTGCCGGTGCCCAGCAGGCGGACCCCGCCCCTCTCTCGGTGAGTTTCTCGTACTAGACCGTGTTCGTGACGGTTTCTTCCGCCTCTTTTGCCCTTTATCCCCCGTGATCTGTTTTCTGTGTAGAGAGGGTTTGCTGACAAGGAAAGCAAAACTTCATTCAGCGATGCATTGATCAGGGGTGCTTCTTGCGTTGCAGTGGTGGACGTGGGATCGTGTCTTAGCCTTTTACTTTGTAGGGGAGGCAGGAGAAGGGAAACTGCTCTTGGCTAGAGGACTGTGTTTTCTGCCATTGTTACTGTATCACATGATCACCACTGACCCAGAATCTTCTGAAGGTCAGCTCCTCTTTTACATTTTGTGTGTTGATATTTCTTCAGTGAGATGTTGCTGGCAAACAAATATTTCTTCCCTCCTAGTACAGAGCTGTAACGATACTTGTGTGAAGCCCATGGGTTTTCCTGGTGCGTGTTGAGGGGAAATGGTCTGAATAACTGGCCGTTTGATTCAAAGTGCCTGCAAAATATAATGGTCAAAAAACAACATGCAAGTTTAGAGTGGTAGGAGGATCCTGGTACCTGTGGGTGAGGGACTGTCAAAGGAAACAAGAGTTCAGTGCCTCTCTGTGCTATAATGTAATGTGGTTTTCTCCTTCCCAAGTGAATGAGGCCTAACAGACATTACTCCAACTGTGTTGAGAGCTGTGGGATGTTCCTGCTCCGTGTTTACAAATTAATGCTTTGTATTTAACTAATTGCTTAATACATACTAATGATAAATGCCAAAATGGGAGCTTTGAGAGAAGGAAACTGATTCCATCCCTGATCAGTAGTTGGATTTTTTATCTTCTCTAAGTGCCATAACTTAGAAGAGCATGATGTGGTGACTTCATTTCTGCAGATGTTATTTTCTTGTCTTCTTCTTTGTACTGATGTCAAGCTGGGCCTTTGTATTTGCTAGTATCTGATCACATTGTTACATTTCTTTGATTGTCCCATACATGCCTTTCATTGCTACATCTCTAAAGGAAAAGACTTTCTTAGATATGTTTCCTTAAAATGTTAATGGGAGAAATTGTTTTAGTTCTCACACACCAATGGTAAGGAGTCAACTATTAAGCATGGGAAGGAGAAGTTTTGTCTGTGCAACTTTTCTTTCAGAGCAGTATATCTGCAAATAATGAAGATCAATGACAACCATGCCAGCTGTAATGAGTTTGAGGAGATTCCTGTAGGTGCTGTGTGTGAGGAGATACTGGTGGAGAGGAAGCTTGTGGGTTTTTAATTCCCAGGGTCCATTGCTGGACTAGATAAAATGAATAGGCTCAGGTTCCACACAGTGACAAACTGTGAGTTCATCGGTTTCATTTCCTACTGCCCGTGCTACTCCCTGTAAAGAGTAATTAAACTGTGGCCTTGTTTGTCTTGATGAGGTAAAGGTGGGCCTGTGT